TGGGCTGGATTCGAACCCGCCACCTTGGGTGTACATGGCTGGTGCCTTAGCCACTTGAGCCACAGGCGCCGAGCCAGTACCTCAGTCTTAAATCTTGTGTACACTATGTAACATTCCTTTTTTTTCAGATAATCTCACTTTGTCACCCTCAGTAGAGTGTCATGGCATCATAGCTCATTAGCAACCTCAAACTCTTGGGCTTAAGTCATTCCTCTTGCCTCAGCCTCCCAAGTAGCTGGGACTACAAGCGCCTACCACAACACCCGACTATTTTTTTTGTTGTATTTGTCATTAACCACTGAGCTATGAGCACCAAGCCAACCTCAAACTCTTGGGCTCAAGTGATCCTCTTGCTTCAGCCTCCCAAGTAGCTGGGACTACAACCACCCACCACAATGCCTGGCTATTTTTAGAGACAGCATCTCACTCACTCTTGCTCAGGCTGGTCTTGAACTCCTGAGTTCAGGCAATCCATCCTCCTGAGCCTCTCAGAGTGCTAGAATTACAGGCATGAGCCACTATGCCCATCCTAACATTGCTCATTCTTGCTTTTTTTTTTTTTTTTGTACTCTGCTTTTTGAAATACATTTTACTCTGGGTGGCACCTGTGGCTCAGTGAGTAGGGCGCCAGCCCCATATACCAAGGGTGGCAGGTTCAAACCCAGCCCTGCCCAAACTGCAACAAAAAATAGCCAGGCATTGTGGCGGGTGCCCATAGTCCCAGCTACTCAGGAGGCTGAGACAAGAGAATTGCTTAAACCCAAGAGCTGGAGGTTGCTGTGAGCTGTGACACTACAGCACTCTACCGAGGGCGACAAAGTAAGACTGTCTATTAAAAAAGAAAAGAAAAGAAAAATACATTTTACTCTTCAGAAAGCCCCATTCTTTTCCAGACACTGTCCAAGCCTCTTCTGACACATTCTGGGATGTTCTGTTAACAGTGTAATTTGTAAAATATAGATATGCTTTCCCTACACCCAGCACAGTTCTGAACTGAGTTCCATTCATGGTTTCCAAGACCATAGTTATAATTACAAGTGTTGTACTGGGTCCTGTCTCCTTTCCTCTTCCAGACTATTTGACCTGACCTCGTCATAATTTAATTTTGTTTAAAACACTAGTTGAAGGCTCAGTAAACTTAATAAATTTGGTGAGTCACCACAATCTTAAGTACTTGATTCTCAGAAAAAGGAACAGATGAAAAAAGACAGACTAGAAAAGAAGAAAAATAACAAGAATTACATGGCAAGGAGTGGTAGGTCAGGCACCACTCCTGAGCGTTTTGGGAGCCTGAGTCCAGAGGATTACTTGAGAGCAGGAGTTTGAGACAACCCTGGGCAACGTAGTGAGACCCTATCTCTACAAAAAAATAAAATAGGCTTGGTGCCCGTAGCTCAGTGAGTAGGGCACTGGCCACATACACCGAGGCTGACAGGTTTGAGCCTGGCCCAGGTGTGCTAAACAACAGTGACAACTGTAACCAAAAAAAGAGCCGGGTGTTGTGGCAGGCGCCTATAGTCCCAGCCCAAATTCCCAAGCAATTGGGGTTTCTGTGAGCTATTAATTCAATTCCCATAGAATTGCTTAAGCCCAAGCATTTGGGGTTGCTGTGAGCTATGATGTCACAACACTCTACCAAGGGCAACATAGTGAGACTCTGTCTCAAAAAAAAATTAATTAATTAAAATAAAATAAAAAAGTGCCCCTGGGCTCAGCACCCCTAGCTTAATGGTTACAGCACCAGCCACATACACTAGAGCTGGCAGGTTCAAACCCTGCCCCAGCCTGCTAAACAACAATGACAGCAACAACAGAAATAGCCTGGGCAGCACCTGTGGCTCAGTGAGTAGGGCACTGGCCCCACATACTGAGGGTGGTAGGTTCAAACCCAGCCCTGGCCAAACTGCAACAAAAAATAGCCAGGCATTGTGACTGGTGCCTGTCCAGCTACTCGAGAGGCTAAGGCAAGAGACTCACCTAAGCCCAAGAGCTGGAGGTTGCTGTGAGCTGTGACACCACTGCACTCTACTGAGCTCAACAAAGTGATACTCTGTCTCTTAAAAAAAAAAAAAAAGCCAGGCGTTGTAGCAGACACCTGTAGTCCCAGCTGTTTGGGAGGCTGAGGCAAGAGAATCGCTTAAGCCCAAGAATCTGAGGTTGCTATAAGCAGTGACGCCATGGTACTCCACTAAGGATGACATAGTGAGACTCTGTCTTCAAAAAACAAAAAAGTGCATCTGTAGTTACAGCTACATGAGAGGCTGAGGCAGAGGATCACTTGAGCCCAGGAGTTCAAGGTTCAGTGAGCTATGATTGGAGTACTACATTTCAGCCTGAGTGACAGAGTGAGACTCTGTCTTCAAAAACAGAATTACAGGGCAGCACCTGTGGCTCAAAGGAGTAGGGTGCTGGTCCCATATACTGGAGGTGGTGGGTTCAAACCCAGCCCTGGTCAAAAACTGCACACACACACACACACACACACACACACACGAAAAAAGAATTACAGTGCAAAGAAAGAATGAATCAGTATTGGTCCAGATTCCTTGAGAAGAATGCTTTCAGTTGGTTACAAGTAACATGTACATGACACATCGTGTAGTATATCATAAGATACAGGTGAGGCCCGTCACACTGTTCCATACCTGTAATTCTAGCACTCTGGGAGGCCAAGGAGGGAGGATCACTTTAGCTTAGGAGTTCGAGACTAGCCTGTACAAAGCAGGACCTCATCTCTACTAGGAAAAGAAATAAGAAAATTAACCGTGTGTGGTAGTGGGTATCTGTAGTCTGAACTACTGGGGAGACTGAGGCAAGGAGGATAGCTCCAGCCTAGGAGTTTAAAGTTGCTGTGAGCTAGGCTGAGGCCATGGCATTCTAGCTCAGGTAATAGAGTGAGATTCTATCTCATAACAACAACAACTAAAAAGATACAGTTGAGAACGAATGAAGTAAATCTAATTACCACCTTTGCAATTTTTGAGCCCCAGAGGGAGAATGATACCCTAAGAAAGAAACCAGATCTTCGTGGTTCCTGTGCACAGGAATGACCTTATCTCTCTTCCCCAGGGCACTGGATTAGAACTGAATTGCAATGGAAGCCTGTACTGTGAGCTGGATAACTTAGCATTAATCAAATTAATTCATTTATATTCAGTAAATATCTTTTGAACACCTCTTATGTGCCAAGTACTCTTCTAGGTCCTGAATTTTGTGTTCTCCATGGCCTCCCATCACTGCATTTAGAAGAACTGGCTGGTTTTTGTAAATACTATTGACTCTTCTGAGGAAGTTTTCTCCTCATAGATAAGAAAATATTTATAGATTGCAAGGAACAGAAGTCTAGAGTTAGAGTTCATTGAAATTGTTGAGCTGAGGTAAAGGTAAGTGAATTGCAGAGTGCTAAAACTTCTGGGTTATTTTGCATTTCTGCTGTGTGAGAGGGATAGCAGTCATGTGTAAGAAATATAAATAACTGTCTCAGCATTGCTGAAACCAGCTGCCGGATATCGAGACCCTGGGATTTTGACCTTTTTAAAGTAGAAAAAGGAAACAAAAATTGCCAAAGAAATTATGTAATGAGATCTGTCTTTGTCATGACAGTATTTCTGGCTTTTCTCATTCTATAGCCACCTAGAACACCTGGTAAAAGTATATTTTAAATCATAGTTTTTATAAAAAGAAAGATATAAATCTGAACCCCAACATGTTCCTAAATAAGACTTTCCCCCCCCAAAACTACAGTAAGTTCAAATAAAATTATATTGAATACTTTTTAAGAAACATTTGTCTGTCTGTGTTGCAGACTTATTTTTTTTTTTATTTTGTTTTTTTTTGAGATAGAGTTTTCACTTATTAACCCTCAGTAGAGTGCTGTGAAGTCACAGCTCACAAGTACCTCCAACTCCTTGGGCTTAGGCGATTCTCTTGCCTTAGCCTCTCGAGTAGCTGGGACTACAGGCACCCATTACAACACCCAGCTATTTTTTTGTTGCAGTTTGGCCGGGGCTGGGTTTGAACCCACCACCCTCGGTATATGGGGCTGGCACCCTACTCACTGAGCCACAGGCCCCGCCCTTGCAGACTTATTTTTACAAATACATGGAGAGAGGTCTTGAATGATGTTCACCAGATATTAATAGTAGTTATTTTTGGGTAGTGGCTTTTAGAATGACAATTAAAAATTTTTGTTATTGATTGAATTTCTTTTCTAATGAGCATGCATTATTTTTACAAAACCAATAAAGCTATAAAAAATTATTTTTCTAAGAATTATTTCTAAAGACTCATAGCCTCATTTCACTTTATCTAACTCCAGAGCTCTTTGACAGTTGAACATGGATTATATTTTCTTCTTCTCTCTTTTTTTTTTGCAGTTTTTGGCCGGGGCTGAGTTTGAACCCACCACCTCTGGTATATGGGGCCGGCACCCTACTCCTTGAGCCATAGGCACCGCCCTTCTCTCTTTTTCTTTTTTTCTTTTTTGAGACAAAGTCTCACTATGTCGCCCTGTTATCATCGTAGCTCATAACAACCTGAGACTCTTGGAATCAAGCAATCCTCTTCCCTCAGTCTTTGAGTAGCTGGGACTACAGGCATGTGCCACAACACCCAGCTAGTTGGGTTTTTTTCTCTTTTTAGTAGAGATAGGATCTCACTCTTGCTTAATCTGGTCTCTGACTCCTGAGCTCAAGCAATCCACCCACCTTAGCCTCCCAGAGTGTAGGATTACAGGCATGAGCCACCATGCCTGGCCTTTTTTTCTTGTTTTAGAAACAGGATCTTGCACTGTCTCCCAATCTGGGGTATTGGCTTCATTGTAGCTCACTATAACATTGAATTTCTTCATTCAGGTGATCCTCCTGTCTCAGCCTCGGTTTATAGTTGGGACTAGAAACACATGCCACCATTTTTTATAGAGACCAATTTTCACTGTGTTGCCTATACTGGTCTCAAAATCCTGGCTTCAAATAGTTCTCCCACCTTGCCCTTCCAAAATGTTAGAATTACAAGTGTGAGCTACCGAGCCTGGCTGGAATTTTTTTCTTTATACCTTTCATGTTTTTTGTATTTAGCTAATGTTATGTTCTCCTTCCCCTGTGTCCTGCTTAGCAAAAGATACAGATATTGTGGATGAAGCCATTTATTACTTCAAGGCCAATGTCTTCTTCAAAAACTATGAAATTAAGGTAAATTACAGAGCTTTTAATATTTAACTTAGTTTTCTGAGGGGTATAATACCTACCTTGCAGTCAGTGTTTGCTGTGAGAAGAAAATAAAATGATAAAAGATGGTGATTTTTAAATTTTAGAACCGTGCCTAATGTTGGACACTATATTAATATTAGTTGCTATCTTTTTTCTCCAAAGTCTATACCAGAGGTTGGCAAACTATAGCACAAGGGCCAAATCTAGCCCATTACTTCTCTTTGTAAATAAAGTTTTATTGGAATACAGCCACAGCTATTTGTTCATGTTATCTGTGGCTGCTTTCATACCACAACAGCAAAATCAAGTAATTGAGACAAAGACTACAATATTATCCCACAACGCCTAAAATATTACTCTCTGCCCTTTGCAGAGAAAGTTTGCCCACTTCTGATCTAGATATATCTTTATTCAACATTAGTTAAGTAGCACCTGTTATGTCCTAGCCCTTTGTTTTTGTTTAAGACTAGTCCACAAACAAAAAACCCTACATTTTGTTTTGTTTTTTTATGTATTTCTATAACCTGGACCTGAGATGGAGAAATGACCATAAATGACCCTGATCCTTCCCTGAACCACCTTTTCTCCCTTTCTCCCTTTCTTTTTTTTTTGGCCGGGGCCAGGTTTCAACCCGCCACCTGCGGTATATGGGGCCAGCGCCCTACTCCTTGAGCCACAGGCACTGCCCTTTTCTCTCTTTCTGCTATTAGTTCCTGTGAGGAGAGTGGTCAAGTAGAAGGTAAAAGTGGCTGGGAGAAAAGGAGAGGGGAAAATGAAAATCAAAAAACTTTTCTGTGCTCTTCCTGTGAGCAAGTTATAAGGAATGTCATGAATTTTCTTGATGAAATTCTGAAATACAAAATTTCAACCTGTCTTTGCCAAACTCTAACCTTTGGGGATCCAATAGGGTGTGAAATCGTTATTTAGATTCTTGGCACAAACTATAGTCTAAGCATTCTGTAATGTTAACAGTGTTTTCTATATCTATGTATAGTCTACTGAGTGTAACATTGTAATAGGTATAAATAAATATGACAATTTACCATATTTCATTCTTTTCCATATATGATAGTGCCTTAAAAAATAAGGAAATGTGCATCTTTTTAGTGGTTTTGACTATAAATGTATGTAAAATTTGACCTGAAGTTTGAGCCACATCTGATTAACATTAATCTTCTCCACATTTTTCTCTTGGTTAGGTCAAGACATTGGGCTTATGGAGCTCTTTACAAACAGTCACATGTGAAATAATTGCTTCCTCTTTTAGAGTAATGAATGTTTCTGTTCTCAGCAGAGATCCTGAAATGAAAGAGATTTTAAAAATTAGCCAAACATATGGTGTACCTCAGGCTTTCCAGCAGCTTTGTTAATTCTCCTTCCTACACGGATTGAGGGGCTTTTGGCAAAGGGGAGCCAAGAAAAACAAGAACAGCTCAGGGTGTGGAAGCTGGTGGCTTCCTCCCTGGAGCAGGGGACAGAAGGGAAGTTTGAGCATTTGGAGAGGGGCATTTTTGATGCTATAATAGTATACTATTTCAGGGGGTTTTTGTTTGGTTTTGGTTATTTTTTGTTGTTTTTTGGTTTTTGCTTTTGTTTTTTTTTTTTTGAGACAGATTCTCACTATGTCACCTTCAATAGAGTGCTGTGGCATCACAGCTCACAGCAACCTCAAACTCTTGCCTTAAGCAATTCTCTTGCCTCAGCCTCCCAAGTAACAGGAACTATAGGCGCCCGCCACATCGCCCACCTAGTTTTGGTTGTAGTTGTCATTGTTGTTTGACAGGCCTGGGCTGAATTCGAACCTACCAACTTCAGTGTCTATGGCTGGCACCCTAGCCACTGAGCGACAGGTACCAAGCCTGGTTTTGTTTTTTTTTTGATGCAGAGTCTCACTCTATGCCCTGGCTAGAGTGCCATGGTGTCACAGCTCACAGCAGCCTCAAACTCCTGGGCTTAAGTGATTCTCTTGCCTCAGCCTCCCAACTAGCTGGGACTACAGGCGTGCCCTGCCATGCCCAGCTAATTTTCTATTTTCAGTAGAGACAGAGTCTCATTCTTGCTCAGGTTTGGTCTCAAATTCCTGAACTCGGCTCAGCGCCTGTGGCTCAAGCGGCTAAGGAGCCAGCCACATACACCTGAGCTGACAGTTTTGAATCCAGCCCTGGCCTGCCAAACGACAATTACGGCTGCAGCCAAAAAACAGCCGGGCGTTGTGGTGAGCGCCTGTAGTCCCAGCTACTTGGGAGGCGGAGGCAGAAGACTCGCTTGAGCCCAGGAGTTGGAGGGTGCTATGAGCTATGATACCATGGCACTCTACCCAGGGGTGACAGCTTGAGGCTCTGTTTCAAAAAAAAAAAATTCCTGAGTTCAAGCAGTTCACCCACCTCTGCCTCCTTAGCACTCCCAGAGTACTAAGATTATAGGCGTAATTGTTACCCATTTTGATGAAAATATTTCAAATTGCATATAAAACCAGCACATTGTACCCCATGATTACATTAATGTACACAGCTATGATTATAGGCAGGGTGGCACCTATGGCTCAAAGGAGTAAGGTGCCAGCCCCATATGCTGGAGGTGGTGGGTTCAAACCCAGCCCCGGCCAAAAGAAAAAAAGATTATAGGCACAAGGCACTGTGCCCATCCTGTACTGTCTCAGTAGATAATCAGATTGAATTCATTCATTACATGTGGTTGTTATGTTTTGTTGAAGACTGTTTTAAGTTTTCTTTTCTCCCTATAGAATGAAGCTGATAGGACCTTGATATACATAACTCTCTACATTTCTGAGTGTCTAAAGAAACTGCAAAAGGTAATTAAACTTGGATGATCATATATCAAGAAAGCAAGTTACTGATAGATGTTATCTTCCTAGCCATTTGAATTTGTTGAGAATTTAAGAACGAATAGAAAATATTTCCTGTCACTTAGAGTATAGACTTAAGAGGAAAATATGAATGCAGTTCTCTGAACTTATAGTCAAAGATAAATCTATTGGTGTTTTAAGGCTTTGGATGTATTTTATCAAGCAGAAATCTTGACAAAGAAATGTCTTTCAAGGATTTCTTAACCTGGGATTCAAGGATATAATTCAAGGGTGTGTGAACTTGAGTGAGGAAAAACTTGTATTTTTCCTTCAGTTAACTTCTTTTTTTTGAGACAGAGCCTCAAGCTGTCCCCCTGGGTAGAGTGCTGTGGCATTACGGCTCACAGCAACCTCCAACTCCTGGGCTAAAGCGAGTCTCCTGCCTCAGCCTCCCAAGTAGCTGGGACCACAGGCGCCCACCACACCGGCAATTTTTTGGTTGCAGCCATCGTTGTTTGGCAGGCGCGGGCTGGATTCGAACCTGTCACCTTAGGTGTATGTGGCTGGTGCCTTAGCCACTTGAGCCACGGGCGCCGAGCCCCTTCAGTTAACTTCTAACTGAAATTTAATGTTTACCTCAATTGTTAGTGTATGCAACAGCTCCCATTATTAATAATACCTGTGACTTTTTCTCACTAAAATTCATGATCTTTTAATTTTATTAGAATTGAAGATATTTTGTTTTTGAGACAGAGTCTCACTCTATTGCCCTCAGTAGAGTGTCATGACATCACAAAGCTCACAGCAACCTCCAGCTCTTGGGCTAGGGCGATTCTCTTGCATCAACCTCCCCAGTTGCTGGGACTACAGACGCCCTCCACAATCCCCGGCTATTTTTGTTGCAGTTGCCACTGCTGTTTTAGGGACTGGGTTCGAACCTGACACCCTAGGCATATAGGGCTGGCGCCCTACCCACTGAACCACAGGCACTGCCCATAGAGTTGAAGATATTTTGGAATTTTTGTTTATACATATCACTTCTTCAACATTTAGTTATTAGGCCCACCACTAAATAATATTATTTAGTGCATTAATAAAGAACACATGGCAACTATGTCTTTATATCTTAATTATTGTGTTTTATTATAATTTGTTTCTCTTAATTCTATTTTTTGTTTTCATTTGAAACATTATTATGAGAAGAGACTCATAGGCTTTATTAGATTGCAGAATTTGGGCCCCAGAAACATTTTACCTCAGCCTTATCTACTTAGATGAAAAATTTACAATTTAAATATTACTCTTTTCCCTGTAAAATGTATGTGTGAATAATTTTTTTGTCTTTTTTTAGTGCAATTCCAAAAGCCAAGGCGAGAAAGAAATGTATACACTGGGAATCACTAATTTTCCCATTCCTGGAGAGCCTGGTTTTCCACTTAATGCAATTTATGCCAAACCTGCAAATAAACAGGAAGATGGTAAGAACAGAGTCGCCATCCTCTTTCATGGCACAAGAAGATTTGCTCTATTTGACTTTCTACCCACTTCCTTTTCTTGCCTTGATTGGCACACAGATGGAGAGCACACTCATTTGGAAGTACATTATCTTATTAGTCACTTTCACAAAGGTTCTTGCCAATGATTATAACATGCAGAGAATCTTTTGAACCAAATGAATATAGTTATAAAACCATTTGGACTATCATTTCTATTTCTTATCCTGTTCAGATGTATAAAAATACATTGCTACAGTCAGTATCCAGACCTGCAATCAGTACATTTGGGATATATTCTTGAATACAGTTTTTTATCATTCTATTTTAGAAGTGATGAGAGCCTATTTACAACAGCTAAGGCAAGAGACTGGACTGAGACTTTGTGAGAAAGTTTTTGACCCTCAGAATGATAAACCCAGCAAGGTAAGACCCTCTGTTTTTGCCTATTTAATTTTTTTTATTTTTATTTTTGCCTATTTAATTTTTTTGCCTATTTAATTTTTTAATCTGTTTTTGCCATTTTATCTTATAGCCACCTTAAACACACTAAGGTCTTCCACTGTAAGAATATTTTTTATATTTTGTGTTGCAGTGTTGATTGAGATGGAGTGCATGCCTAGTAGGAATTACCTGAATCACACTGAATAATGAATTAAATGTAATAAAATTTTAATTGTGTATTCTTAACATCAGGGCATTATAAGATAACCCTGGATTTGGCTGGGCACCCATAGCTCAGTGGTTAGGTTTCTGGCCACATGCGCCAGAGCTGGTGGGTTCGAACCCAGCCCAGGCCTGCTAAACAACAAATAAAAAAATAGCTGGGCTTTGTGGTGGGCACCTGTAGTCCCAGCTACTAGGGAGGCTGAGGCAAGAGAATTGCTTGAGCCCAAGAATTTGAGGTTTCTCTAAACTATGATGCCATGGCAAGAATGGGGGTGACAAAGTGAGACTCTGTCTCAAAAAAAAAAAAAGAAAAAAAGATACCCTAGATTTATTACATGAATTCTGTTGTAATTTTGAGTGACCTGTGAGTGTAGAAAAGAAAGTTTTACATGTGCCTTTGAGGAATTTAATGTGTGAGATACCAGACTAATATTAAATGTTATTATTATTAAATAAATTTGAATTCTGATCTTGGCCTTCAAATTGCACTGTGATTTGACTCCCACTGTTCATTCTGTGTTGTCCCCCCTCCTTGTTAGTGGTGGACTTGCTTTGTGAAGAGACAATTCATGAATAAGAGTCTATCAGGACCTGGACAGTGAAAGAAGCCTGGGCAGCCACTATCTCCAGAGCCCTGGACAGCATTTTCTACAATATGTACACAATCCTTTGCCTTTATTTCATAACATTTTATACAGAAGAGAGATGCGCATGTCTGTATTTGAACAGCTCTTGATCAAGATTTGGGTGTGGGAGGGAGGTGGGTTGTCAACACTGATTGAAATTTTCTGCAGTATTAAGCTGGTGCTTGATACAAGTAATAAAAAAATTTCTATCCGTGTCAGAAAAACTTTATTGTTCATCTTAGACATTCACTTAAAATTGTTTTTGAGATAAAGTTCACTTACCAAAATATCCTTTTAAAGTGGGCAATTCACTTTTTTTAGTATATATAAGTTCTACAACCATTACCACTAATCTACAACCTTTTCATCACCCCAAAGAGATATACTCTTTAGCAGTCACCCCTCCCCATTCCTTTCCAACCCTTTTTTCCCTTTCCCCACCCCTTTCCCCATTACTAATCTACTTTCTGTCTCTACAGATTTGCTAATCCAGGTTAATTCATATACATAGAACTATACAATATGTGGCCTTTGGAGATCTGGCTTCCTTCACACAATGTTTTCCAAGTTTACTTATGTTATAGCATGTATCACTACTTCTCTTCCTGTTACTTTTCTTCTTTTTTTCTTTGTGTGTGTAATGACGTATACATAATACGGTATTTCTCTGGGTTTTTTTTTTGTTTGTTTGTTTTTTTGAGATAGTCTTGCTCTGATGCCTAGGCTAGAGTACCATGGCTTCAGCCTAGCTTACAGCAACTTCAAATTCTTGGGCTTGAGCACTCTTCCTGCCTCAGCCTCCCAAGTAGCTGGGACTAGGCACCTACCACCATGCCTGGCTAGTTTTTTTATTTTAGTAGCGATGGGGTCTCACTCTTGCTCAGGCTGGTCTCAAACTCCTGAGCTCCAGCAATCCACCACCTTGGTCTCTCAGTGCAGGAGGTGTGAGCCACCACGCCCAGCCCATTTTAGCCATTTTTTAAAGTATACAATTCAGTGGCATTAATTACATTCACAATGTTGTACAATTATTACCACTATCTATTTCCAAGATTTTTTATTATACAAATGGAAACTATAACTCTTAAGTTCCTGGTAATTATAACCCCAACTCCCATCTCTGGTAACCTCTAGTCTTCCCATCTCTGAATTTACTTATCTTAGATATCTGGTAACCTCTAGTCTTCCCATCTCTGAATTTACTTATCCTAGATATCTCATATAAGTGGAATCAAACAATGTTTGCCTATGTCCATATCCATGTTGTAGCATGAATCAGAACTTCATTCCTTTTTTATGGCCAAATATTCCATTATATAGATACACCACATTTTGTTTATCCATTCATCAGTTGATAGACATTTGGGGTTTTATTTACTTTTTGGCTATTATGAACACGGTTGCCAAGAACATTCATTTATAAATTTTTGTGTGGACATGTTTTCATTTCTTTTAGTTATATGCCTAGGAATAGAATTGCTTAGTCATAGGGGAACTCTATGTTTAATTTTCTGCACAACTATCAGACTTTTTCCTAAGCAGCTGTATTGTCACATTCCCACCAATAACATTTGGCAATTCTAATTTCCCCACATCCTCACCAATACTTGCTGGTTGTTTTTTGCTATGGTTTTCATTTGTATTCCTCTAATGACTAATAATATTGGGCATCTTTTCATGTGAACATTGGCTATTTATATATCTTTGAAGAAATGTTCATTCAGTTCAGCTCCATTGTCCATTTTTACCTGGCTTCCTTGTTTACTTGGCCTTCCTTCCACCATACCTTACCTGTTTTTGTTAATTTCTTGATGGTGTCCTTTTAAGCACAAAGATGTCAAATTATGCCTGTTTTTTCCTAAATATTTTATACTTTTTTTTTTCTTTTTTTTTTTTTTATTGAATGGTAACTGTGTACATTGATGCACTTTGGGGGTACAGTGTGGTGTTTTCATACATAATCCAAGAC